CACACACACACACACACACACACACACACACACATACGCACATACGCACGCACAAACACACACACACGCACATACACACGCACACACACACGCACATACACACACACACGCACATACACACACACACGCACATACACACACACACACACGCACATACGCGCACACACACGCATACACAAACAAACACACACATAACACATACTACGAACATGCCGAAATTCAAATTTTGTCAAGGAGACAACTGGTCAAATTTCGCTTTTGCAGGAACACCAGAGGGTATAGTGTCAAAACTTATGGAGTGTAAATACGTTGCAAAAAGGGTAGATAGCACTCTTGCTCGGACCAGAGAGATTACCATCTACATTCAGTATGTGATCAGTTGTTATCAACGAACTGGTATCCTTGCTCGAGCAAAACGGCTTTCAAGTGCTCGATCCATTTGTCATCTTCCGGAGTTTGCGAAACTTTATTGTACCCAGTCTGCAAGCACAAACAACTTCTTAGAAAATCTGTCAAGCCTGTGAGCTTCAGAAAAAAGACAAGGTGCAATTTTAACTTCCCTCCCTCCTTCACAAAATCGCACTTCTTTCTGTGTTTAAATACTTGCACAGATATGAAATTTTTCTTTTTCTGATAGTTTAGCAACAAACTTGGGGCTTAAGGATCGCTTTGCTTATCTCTTCAACGCACTGCACCACTTACGTCCTTATTTTAATGCCGTTTTGGCTACGTTTTGCATCAGATCCTCACCAGTAAAATTTGGGTCTTCCGTTCTCACTCTACACGGTACTGGCATCTTCAAAATTCAAACTATCGTGTGGTAAAACCCACCAATTTCAGTTTGTTACCATTGTCCTTCGCAAGCTCACTGGCTAGCTCTCGATCCAGCAATTTACAACGTATGCTTCGCTTGCCGAGAATCAGCGCTGCAAAGTAGACGTTGTGCGAATACTTGTTTACTAGGAAATACTTTGCACGTTTTGGGTTGTGCACCTGCAACGAAAATCCATGAGAATCGTGAGCGTCACGCCAATTAGACGACCTCCACAGCTCCGCGGTAAACTTACGGTGATTTGGCCGCACATCGATTTCCACTTTTTCGTTATTTTGAGGACTTCTTTTATGTCCACTTCATCAATGGTTGGTTTAATGAGTCTCATGGCCACAGTCTTTTCAAAAGCACCGGATTGGTTCATCCTGAAACACATCTCGCATTCATTTACACCTGCTTAAAAGGCAGTGTGTATGAACGTGTATGTATACGATCCTAGCATAAGGCATCATCCACCTTCGAGCGTAACTGCTCTCCACAAACGCGTGCAGTTACCACGCATTCTTTCAGGACTGCTTGGGAAATGAGCTACCAGGTGACCTAGGATTCCAAACACGGCACTGAGAAACGAGTCCACTGCCCACGTATGAAAAAGAAATGTTTTCGTGAAGTCAGGGCATTCAACTCAGTCTGTCTCTCGAGGTAGCAGTTTCCCAGCAATGCCTGGATTTCAATTTGGATGTACTCATGCGCGTGACGCAGGTGAGCGTAACAGCTGAATTTGAAATCTTTTGCTCATATATGGGCAGAGAATACGCACTTGAAGTTGCAGCCCCCTATCATGTCCGATTCCCAAAACTGCTGCCCCACCAAAAAACTTGCATCCTTTTTATGCATCTGTACGTAGGATCCGGGCTTGTGAGGACGTTGATTTTAAGCCATCTGGACAGCATGTCGGCCAGAAACATCCTTGTGAAATTTCAGCTTCCTACCTTCTGCGTTTGCTGCATTGAAAGTGGGCAGGAAAAAGCCAAATGCACGAAGCACACACCGACGCTTACACCCCACGAGAGTATGTGTTATGCATTTGCATAAATATGCAAAAACATACAAAAACTAAAAGAACACGAGTGCACCGCTTCCACTTATTATGCGTTTTGGCATAAGATGCGAAACGCGTACTGTCAAGAGGGCTATCAGTGCGTGTGCGTGTGTGTGTTCGGAGATGCATCGCGCACAGTTATTCCACATGTACAGTAACTTCATAGTTCGCCGTTGGCATCGTGCCACCTCAAAAACTAGCCAGAAAATGACAGCTTTAATTTTGTCAGAATATTTGTCTCTAGAAAGTCGTGTACCTAAGTGAAATCTTGAATTATTCTTGTGCCACGCCTTAGGACACTCGAAGATGTTTGTAGCGAAGCAGCAATTTCGGTTCCCGGACAAGCCGCAGGAGCTATGGCCATGTGTGATCTAAATTCAGCGTGGCGGCTAAATTCGTTGCACATGGACATGAGAAATGCTCAGTTCCATCCAACCTCAATAATTGGCCAACGCACGGATTGCCCGTACGAAGATGTGCTTTTCGCATAGTTTCCCGCAGATTTTTGTCGCTAACGGCACTATTTTTTCCGGCAAATGCTTCTAGCTAAAAGAATTTCAGACTGGTCGCCAGGACTGTCAGGAAACACACCTTCAAAATTCCAGTCTTCTAGCTTCTTAGTTCCTGAGCTATCAACTTACCCGAAGAAATTTGGCGGGCCCGTACATGAGTACCACGTATACCCGGTATCTGGGTTTGAGGTCAATAAGATTTAAGTGGACGGGGAATATCTCAAAATTTCAGCTTTCTAGCTTTTCTGATTCTCGAGTTAGTGACCCACTCACAAAAAAATTTCAGGAGCCCGTACGTGGGTACCACGCGGGTAAGAGCACCCATTTTGGGGATTGGGCCCCGTACGTCCATGCAGACTAATTTCCCAAAGTTTCAGCCCTGTAGCTTTTGTAGGTTTTGAGATGGGAAACCGTGCCAGACGCACAAACAGACACACACACAGACAACCCCTCGTCAAAATGCGTTTTTCGCATTGCATAGCTGCAAAAAACGCATAAAAACGAGTGCAGTTTACTCGGATTTGTCACCCCTCTCTCTCAACATCCTATTCATTACCCAGCTTGCAGTTCGATTACCGGGGATTATTCGTCCCCTTTCAGGGAGAATTTTCAGTAATCACGAATGCTCGAGATTAAAATTCACACGGCCTCACGATGCAACACTACCGTTCAAGCTGACTTCCTTTTTCCCAGTGTGCAAGAAAGATCAAAACATAGCCAGTATGGGTGTACATTTTAAACTGTAAAGCACCGTTAATGATCTGTTTGTTTCAAGTTTAGCGCAAAAACGCATAATCGCACCGACAAGTCTGGTGCATTGCTCTTGAGTTCTCAAAATGATTCCGAACTACATCTCAGGCTTAACAGTTCTCTTTCGCTTTTGCATAATCTTCGTTCGTGCTTCAGTCAGTGCAGTTGTCAAAAACATCGTTACAAGTTTGTTGCTTAGCATCATGAACCCAAATATGCTCCTCATTCCTTTCCCGAGAATCTCAGCTCCTTTCCGGTTATTCCATCCTCTCTCCCTTTGTTATGACCCCCGCCCCGCCCCTCCGTGACTCCATAGGCGGATCCAGGCAGGTGGCAAAGGGTCTTTCGCCCTACCCCCAGCGGCGCAGGCACCAGTGCAGCAAAAGCCCGGGTCTGCTCACAAACTAAAGCCTTAAGTAACTGTAAGTAGCAGTGTGTTACAACTCTATTCCTAGTTTTTGTATAGTTCCGGGGTGAGAGGGGACTCTTCCCCAACCCCCTCTCGCAGCAATCCGTCCTGGATCCGCCTATACGTGACCTAAACTGGGACCCCCAGTTCGCCAGCCCACCTCTATGCCTACGTTGCCATGTAAACCAACACAGAAGTTCTAATTCAAGTCGGCCTGTAACCCGAGCTGGCACACCACGAGAATCGCCATCTCCTCCCCCGTCCGCCCGAAGCGAGCCGAGCCCCAGCGGTTGCCGCCAATTCATCTGCAAATAACGGCATTCAAAATTTGGCAATCCTCCAACACCACTGAATAGTGGGTTTTCTCGTTAACTTGACCGGAAAGGACAGGGAGGAGGGGTACTGTAGGGGATTTCGTGGATGGTGGCCCGAGCCGGTTTGATGACTTGTGGCAGTGCTGCTTTCCTGTTGCGGAGGGCGGACAACCAAGGGGATTTCCACCGAACTTCCCCAGTGGTACAGGCACCAGTGCTGCAAAAGTCCGGGTCTAAAGCTAAAACTGAAGCCTAAAGTAAGCTGATTGTAGCGTCCAGGTTGACCCTGGGTGTCAGAGTAAGGAAGGCGTATAAGATACAGAACAGAAAAGAATATGGAAAGGAAGAAGGAATGAGGTAAGACGTTTCGGTCTATTAAGCCATATAAGTCTTAGCTCAACACACCACAACTAACTCTAAGTAGCAGTGTGTAACACAACTCTATTCCTAGTTTTTGCATAGTTCCACGGTGTGGGAGGAGGGGACTCTCCTGCTTAACCGCTGTCACTCTTCAAGAGTCCGGCCTGGATCCTTTACTGGGAGTACCATGTTTCTTGTCACATGGCCATTATTCCGTCTCATAGGGTCTTGGCATCTGCTGCTGTAGGGGCTTTTGGCGTTGTATCTCTTCTGGACGCTGTAAACTTTGCAGATTTGGGCTGTGCTGTGATGAAGCGCAGTAGAAGCAACAATGCCGGCATAAGCGCAGTGCTGGATCGCAGTGATGTGGGGAGCATCGATGCTGCTGTTGCTGCTGCTGGATCGGGGGCTGCCAACCAGACCGGTGGTATGTGATTTGTATATTAGCACAGTGCATAAACGGCTTGCTTCTCCGCTACATGGTACTCATGAAAACCCTCCCCTCCCCCCTTTCCCAGAGAGAGGGAAGGCACTAGAATCGGCGACGCACAGTGTGAAACTTTCAGTGAGGTATCGTGAATACGCGAGCTTGAGGGAGAGGAGCGCCAGTAGCTCCCCACCCTGGAACTATGCAGAAACTAGGAATAGAGTTGTAACACTGCTTTGAGTTACTTTAGGCTTTAG